CTGCAAGGTCGGCAGTTCAAACTCACCAGCTGCTCCTTGGAAACCTATACAGGGTCGTTATGGGTTGGAATTCATACATTCAACAACAATTGGCATTCAACAACAACAATATTGATAAGGAGCTCTGATAGTGTAATGGTTATAAGTCAGGCTGCTAACCTCAAGGTCAGCAGTTTGAAACTACTAGCTGTTCTGTGGAAGAAAGATGAGGCTTTCTGCTTCTATAAAGATTTACAGCCTTGGAAACCCTATGCAGGGTCACTATGAGTCAGAACTGACTCCACGGCATACTACCACCACTACCATACATACATGTGGATACTTGATTTGGAAGTTTCTTTTCTAGAGAAGACTACTACAGGCAGTCCCGGGTTACAAATCAGATTTATTCCTGATTTGAGAATTTGTAGGTCATCTCTAAAATTTATAGAACACTTCAATACTTCAACAAGAAAACAAAATTGCAATTTAAAAAATGGGCAGAGAACATAAACAGACACTTCACCAAGAAAGATATTCAGGAAGCCTACAAACATACGAAGAAGTGTTTTCATTAGCCATTACAGAGATGCAAATCAAAACAATGAGATGGTATTTTACTCCAGCATTAACAGCAAAGTTCAGAAAAACAAAAAAGCAAATGCTGGTGAGGTTGTGCAGAGTCTAGAACCCTCCTACACTGCTGGTGGAACTGTAAAATGGTGGAAGCACTGTGGGAAAAAAGTTGGAAACAGAAATACCATATAGCCCAGCAATCTCTCTACTTGGTATATATCCTCTCAAGAACTTAAGAGCTGGGACACAAATAAATATATGTATCACTATTAACAACAGCAAAAATACCAATCAGAAAAATACCAGAAGAGCGGTTTAACAAATTTTGGCACATACACACTTTGGAATACTATGCAATGTTAAAGAATAATGATGAATCTACGTAATGATGAATCACCTCATGACATAGATGAACTTGGAAGACATGCTGAGTGAAATTAGTCAATCACAGTGCAAATACTGAGACCACTGTTGCAAAATGTCAAGAATTTTCATGCTAAAAGAAATATTCTATAATGATTACCAGGGTTAGGAGGGAAGGGAGAATTATTCACTGGCTAGAGAGTACACATGTGTTAAGTTGGGTGATGGGGAAAGCAGTTTAAAAAACTAAAGAAAAAGAAAAGAAATCATAAAATAAAAAGAATCTGTAGCATCCGAAACAGGTCTATATGGTTGTGTCTTTAGTGCTTGTGCAGCAAGAGAAGGTAATTGTGATGGAGAATTTGTTTCATTTCAGGAGGAGTTGGTTCAATCCTTTTAGTGAAGGCAAATTTACATAAATATAAAAGATGATTATGAACTGAATTAGCACTGCTCCAGCCCAAGCTGGTGGCTGACTGTACCACTCTGAATGTGTGTGGATCTCCACAGTCCTGCCAATAACTCAATCTCATGCATCAGGCTCCTGAAAAGGCGCACCGTGCCTCTTCAGAGCCTCCTGTTTCAGGGCTTTGATCTGTAATTTTTCTCATTCCGGCTATGGTGAGGAATCATCAAAATTGTAAAAATTCAGGTCTGTTCCTACTTCTTTCACTAGCCATGACAGTATAGGTTCAAACTGGTTTGAAGTCCTGCTTAAAGAGTTAAGTAGGTGCTGTCCATAAGTCGGACTTTGTAACCTGGGGACTACTAATGTTGTATGTTAGGTCAAGGGGAATTTCTAAGACCGTTTCAATGGTGGTTGCACTTTATAGAATAACATAAAGCAGAAAGAGTGTAAGTTCAAAGGACTCAGCTGGAAAACTGTTGCCCAGTTTTTACAATAGTCTGAAAAGGTTTGGGGTTTGCTGATAAGACAATAATGTCTTTTAAATTTCACTATATAATGAATTATTCACAGAATTGGAGGGAGGGCGTCAACTGCAAAACACTATGCATTTATAGAAAAACAAGTTACCTAAGCTCCTTGGAAATATTAGCTCTAAAGGAGACATGAACTGCATGAATTAGTTGCAAAAGATATGCTACATGCAGATTGTAATAAATTCTGCTCAATTATCAAACATAACATGGTCAAGCATGATTTTTCATGTGTATAACTGTAAAGAAATAAACAATATCACTGACCAGACCCAGTATGTATTTAGGTAACTCTTTGATTCCATCAGTGCCCATATGCTGTTTTATTTTTTCCTTTTATTAGTGCATTTCCAATCTGAGTTCTCTAGGTTATGCCAATTGATCTCAAAGCACTGAGGTTGGCATGAATCTGAGATTTCTAAAAGATTACAATAAAAGACTCCACAGCTTTCACTTGACTATTTTAATGAAAATGAAAGCTAGTTTGTTCATTTGCTCAGCATGTTACAAAACAAGTACAAAGGTTTCACACTGCCATAGTTTTATTTTAAAGAACAATACCTGTGAAAGGTAAGTAACTGGAATAAAAGCATAGGCAAATACAAAAGGAAACAAAAGTAATAGACAAAAATTTCATACATGGACTATATTAAGTAACTTAAAAAATCATCCTATTTCCACATAAATTAGTCCTAATGTTAACTTCAAAAGTCTTCCTTTTGTCCTGATTTTAATCTTCTTTCAATCCCTTCTAGGAACACAGAGTACCCATATCCTTCTGCATGGCTAATAAATGGTACTTGATTTCAAAGAGCTTTAGCAGGTGGTGTTCCTTGGCCACCCACTCATTTCAGGTGCACCCCATCATTTAAATATTCCAAAGAAGTTCCTATGTAGCTAAATGTGCAACATAACAAGTTCTATGTTTGCTCTAGTTGATTTCAGAAAAGGCAACAGAAGCGTCAGTTCATGTGGCATTGAGGAACTCATCTAATGGACTAGATGTAAGAAATCAGTTAAGTGTTCAGTGTAAATTGCCCAATATTCAGAAACATTAACTTGCTTCTTACTGACCTCTGCTTTTGGTCCCAGTGAAAGATTAGCCGTATTGTAGCAGCATGTCCCCAACTTTCCCCTGAGAGAAAAAGAACATAAAAATTGCACTGTCTTACCAACTAGGTTTTAAGTCTCTCACGATGTGTCTCACCAAATACACTCTTTCCTTTAATTAATTTAACATAACAAGAGTATACTTGATTTCAAAACACCTAGGATGTGGGTAACATTCTGAGATAAAAAAGGAAATACTAAAAATCATTACCTTCTACTTGCTTTTTAGCAAACTTTATATTCTGAGCCAGTGAATGTATCAATTTTCCACATACATCAATCAGGTCTACTAAACATACTTTTACCCAAACCCAAACCCAAACTCGTTGTCACTGAGTTGACTTCATACCGACCCTATAGGGCAAAGTAAAACTGCCCCATAGGGTTTCTAAGGCTGTAATCTTTAGGGAAGCAGACTGCCACATCTTTCAACCATGGAGTTGCTGGTAGATTCGAACTACCAAACTTTCAGTTAACAGACAAGCACTTAAGCACTGCACTACCAAGGCTCCACTTCTGACCTCCAGAAGAAAAGTGACATAATATTCTTAGAGATTTTAATGGAAATAAATCTGGAAGCACTGCAATTAAACAAAAACACAACTGAGATTAAGAATAGAGTACATAACTCTATTCAAAATATTGTGATTTGTATTTAAATTGGATTTGCTCTCCCTCCTGCCTGAGACTGAGTTTTTAGAGCACAAGGTCATATCTTATGAATATTTATATCCCTAAAACCTGACACACCAGCTGCCACGTAGCAGATACTCTATGAATGTCTGCGAAATGATGAATCAGTTTCTCAGAGCACTATGCTAAGTGTTGAGGATTATTAGTAAGACAGATACAGGGAGCCTGGTGGCTCTGTAAGGTAAGCACTGGACTGGGAAACACAGGTCAGCAGTTCAAGCCCAACAGTTACTCCAAGAGATAAAGACGAGGCTTTCTGCTCCCACAAAGATTTACAGACTTGGAAATCATATATAGGATTGCTATGAGTTGGTACCACTTGACAACACCTAAAAAACCAAGACAGATACAGTCCCTACTCTCATGGAGCTTACAGTGGTCAGCATGTATCAAATAAAAGGGAGAAAAGTTGTATATAACAAACTTATATCTGATGAAGTACCCACCTAAAGCAGGAATCAAGGAAGCTTGATTTCTATCAATCTTTGTTGTCATTTGATTGGTTAAAATTACCTACAAAAATAAAAGATGACAAAATTAGGTGAATCCAAAAATATTATCAAATAAATGTAGTGTGCCATCAGGTCCTTTGATTTTAGTATTAAGACTATAATCAACTGTTAAAAACTATGTGGTGTTGTTGTTAAGTGCTATCAAGTTAGTTCCAACTCAAAGCAACCCTATGTAGGGTTTCTGAGGAGCACCTAGTGGGTTTGCAATCCAGTGCTTAAAATTTCTTTAATTAAAAATTAATCATAAAAATCATGAAAAATGTGATTGACCACAAAACATTATTTCTGAATTAATCAATCTATTCAAGGTCACAAAGCCCAAAAATACAAAGACACAGAAATGTAAACACATCAAAACTAAAACAAAATATACAACTTAGGTCTTGGATACTGAATCCAACTTCCTGACTATATTATACTATTTCTCATTAAAAAAAAAAAAAAAAAAATTTCATTTATAATAATGGCGTTAATATATTTGTTTGCTAATTGTAATTATCTGAGAAAATTCCATACTGAATTTTAAAAAATCTTATTCTCCTTTTCCTATCAATTCGATAACCATCATAAAATGTTTCTTTTAGCATGAAAACCTTTTCTTAAATTTTTATAACTGCGGTCTCATATAATATTTATACATACAATTTTATATAAAATATTTTTTTAATAAGAAAAAAGTACTTACTATGAAAATACGCTACATAACACATAAAGGTCTACAAAGACAAAAGACCACTTATAGAAACCAGACTGGGAGTATCAGAAAATTTTTGCTTTTAAAATTGAGTTTTGTATAAGTCAACAGAAACAAAAACAGTAACAGCATCATCAGTAGCATTTATTGAATATTTAACACAAGCCAAAAAATACGTTAAGTACTTTATCTTAATTATCTTATCTCATCTCCACCAATGAATGACGTTATCACATTTATTCCAGTTTTACTGAAATCAAAAGCTTAAAAAGATCCTGAGCCCTTGTGCTCCAGCACTACTGCCTCCCTCAAATCCTTTGCTGTGTATCTGAGTCAGACTCAGGCCAACCCTATAGGATAGTTTCCAAGACTGTAAATATTGATGGAAATAAAGACTGCCTCATCTTTCTCCTGCATGCTGACTTATAGGTTTGAACTGCCAATATTCCAGTTCGTTGCTAGGAGCTTTAACCACTGCACCACCACCAGGGCTCCTTAATGCTTCCCTGTAATAAATACCTTTATGCAAAGGAATAAATCCTAATAAACATTTCAATATTTATATTTACTGAGAAAAGAAAAATTAAGGAGCTTAAAATTTTTCAGGAAAAATTCCATTTTTAAATTCCACTTTTCCATGAACTTTTTGAAACCCTTTCCTACATTATTATTACTTTAGATTTTATAAGAAAAACAATAACTAAAAAACAGGCCAATTTTAATGAGACTAAAAATCATTAAAAAAAAGAAAAAAATTTTAAATAGAAAATCTAGGGAAAACTAAAAACTCCAGTAGTCAGGTCATTTAATCCTGAGTTAGGACTATGCTGGTCTGCTAGTAATAGCTACAGATATTTCTTTACTCACAGATAGTCCTAAAGATGAAAATCGTGCTAATATCCTGGGGTAAATGGTGAGCTATAGAAAAAAAAAATCCATGTTGAGAGACAGCTGCTTTAAAGTAGAGAAAACAAACATAAGGGGTTTTCAAAAAGTTCATGGAAAAATGGAATAAAAAGATAAGGGAATTTTCCACGAACTTTCTGAAGCCCCCTTGTATGTTTAAGGTTGACTTAAAAGTCAGCTTATCTAGCACATTCCCATCCAAAATTCTCTAGAAAAGATTATTATAGATATCTCTCCAATACAGATCTTCCTTCTAGAAAGGGTAATGGATTCTACTGCAAGCTGAAATGATAAAGAACTTCTATGTAAATCAAGGGAAAAAATGTGCTTACTCTGAAAAGGTCATCAGTTCTGTAAGGCTGGTGATTATCAATGCAGAGGTAACACCCTAAAATTTTTGTTTTGTCAACATAACACTTTTTACTGTGTATACTACCAAGTGTTTAAGCTCTTCCAACTGGGATATATTTACTTATAGCCCACACTGTATTTACAGCTGTGTTGTCCAATTTTGTAGCTCTGAGGATTATGATGTGGATGTCTTTGGAGGGTCGTTATTCAAGTTACCACTCGTCTCTCTTAAGAAGAACTGTTAAAAAATGTTTAAGTGTGTAGCAGATCACACATTTTCATCATCACAGAAAGTTCTATTGCATAACACTAGTTTACAGAAGAGTAATTAATTTATCCATTACATCTCTTGACGAAAATGTAAATAATACTGCTTTACCAGCTGTTCAACATCCCAAATTAGATTTTACATTACTGGCAAATATTTATTAAGTAGCTATACTACTCCTGCAAAAATGCTGCACCAAGATACAAATGAAAATAGTGTTTCCAAGCTCCCAAAAAATAAATCTTTAAAACAGGTAACGATCTGCAGTACAGTGAACTATTAAAGGTCTCTTCTAGTTGTTGTTAAGTGCTGTCGAGTCAATTCCCACCCACAGCGACCCAGTATAGGGTTTCCAAGGAATAGCTAGTGAGCTTGAACTGCCGACCTTATAGTTCAAAGGGCTTTAACAGTCTGGCACATTAACCCACACCAGGACTCCTCTAGTAAGTCTTTGTAAATTCCCACCAAACAACATTTGCCCTAAAGGGTATGGGTAAGAGAAGGTGGGAGAAGATGCAGACAGGATTGTATGATTCAGTTGTGAGTGATTAACAGTGATTATAAAGACCTGGAACTCTAACATGTATAAAATGAGTCATTTTGAAGCAGGAAACCATTTCTGCTACTAATCAGGTATGCATTTTTTAAAGGCCTTCCCCTATCAAGGTGCCCTAGTGGCACTGTGAGATAAGCACTGGGCTGTTAACTACAAGATTGGTGTTTGGACTTAGTAGCTGCTTTAGTGGGAGAAAAATGAGACAGGCTGCTCCCATAAAGATTTAGTCTTGGGAACCATAAGGAGCAGTTCTACTCTGTTTTATAGGATTGCTCTGAGTTGGAATCAGCTCAGTGGCAGTGGGTTTGATTTGATTTCACCCTATCAGTTTAGCAAAGAGTAAAAGCACTAATAACAGAATCGATAAAAAGGTGGAAAAATACTAATTCCTATTCATTGTTGTGGAGTCCTGGTGTGGTGCTTTCGGATAATGCACTGGATTGTAAGGTCTGTTTGAACCACAAAGTTGGTGGTTCAAATATACCAGCTGCTCCCTGGAAACCCTATACAGGGTCACTATGAGTCGGAACTGACTCGAGTTAGGCGCACCTTAGTCCTCAAACACACTTTAAAGAGATCTTTTGCAGATTTGCGTAATGCAAAACATCATTTGATTTCTTGATTGCTGCTTTCATGAGTGTTGGTTGTGGATCCAAGCAAAATGAAGTCTTTGATAACTTCAATCTTGTCTGCATTTATCATGTTATTGATCGGTCTAGTTGTGAGGATTTTTGTTTTCTTTCCAATCCAAACTGAAGGCTGTAGTTGTTGATCTTCATCAGTATTTTACGTTCTCTTTGCTTCCGGCAAGTAATGTTGTATAATCTGCATATCATAATTTATTAATGAATTTTCCTCTAATCCTGATGCCATGTTCTTCTTCATATAATACAACTTCTCAGATGATTTGCTCAGCGTAGATTGAATAAGTATGGTGAAAGGATACAACACTGGCATACACCTTTCCTGTGTGATTTGAAACCATTCAGTATCCCCGTGTTCTGTTCTAACAACTGCCTGTGTACAGGTTCCTCATGAGGACAATTATGGAATACTCATTCTTTGTGCAAAAAGTCTTTGCACAAAATCAATGTCTTTGCATATTTGCACCAGTAAGTATCTTTCTGATATTCTCTGCCCTCAGTCAAGACCTATCTGACATCAGTAATGATATTCTTCATTCTATGTCCTTTTCTGAACGTGGTTTGAATTTCTGGCAGCTTCCTGTTGATGTACTGCTGCATACAGCATATCTTGGAACACGATTTTCTGAGGATAATTTGCCTGCTTTACAGCATATTAAATGCTAAAAACTGAAGCCAACTATGAAGACAATAAAGGAAGTCCTGAGTCACCCCAGCAATGGGCCACTTTTGCTCCAGTGTATCTCTTACATGAAAAGTACAACCCCCTGGCAAACTTGTTGCTATGACATTAATAAAGCTTCAAGGACTGCATAAACTCATGTACCATCTAGTGAATGACTTTGGAGATTATGTTGTCACAATGAACGTGACACATTGCTTTTTCTAGAAACAAATTAGAACAACTAGTGTTCTTCTCGCATACTAACTACCCAGGTGGATTTAGACAAGTAACAGATGTTCAACTTCACCAGAATAACCTAGTGATAACTGTTAGACTAGCTATTTATGCTGTGCTGACAAAAACCCTTCAAAGAACTATACTGCAAAGGTTACATCTTTTTCAGATGATGGCATTGCAGAAAATAGTCTTAAAAATATAGTGGAAAAGGTTTCTTTAAAAAATGCAATGAGTTGGATGAAACTTCTTTGTGATGAGTTAAACAACTGCTCTATTTTCAACAGGAAATGATAGCAATATGATTTGAATGCTATGAAAGATGAAAACAAAATTGCTTACTTGGTTAAAAAAAAAAAAGAATAAAGAGGTGGTTAAAAAGCTATGCTACAGACCACTCGTCTGTCAGTTTGTCATACTGGGGTGGCTTGCATGTTGCTGTGATGCTGGAAGCTATGCCACCAGTATTTTAAATACTAGCAGGGTCACCCATGGTGGACAGGTTTTAGCAAATCTTACACACTTACTAGAAAGGAGAGGCAAACTACTTCTGAATATTTAACCACTAAAAACCTTATGAAAATCAGAACAAACAAGATGGCGGATAGAGTGGAAGTGTAGTAAAGAGCTCTGCCA